TACGGGCCACTCGCCGCGTGGCGTGGAGCGTCCCTTTAAAACAATGAGACACTTCTCGCTCCACCACGCCACACTCTCGACGCTCCTGTTGTGCGGGTGGTATCGCGCACCTCTCCACCTCCGCCACTTGTTTTTATTTAGTTTCGTCCGCTCGAGACTCGAGACGAGACTCGGATTCAGAGCCAAGGGCTGCGGCTGCCCCCCTTTTGGAACTGCATTACACCGCCGATAGAAATCTCCAACGGGTTGTTCCACCCTTGAATCTCGAGCAACGATGCTCTCTTAGCGCGGATGTTTGGTCGGTGGCGTAACTCACATTTCACAATTACTTCACGATTATGTTGAGTTATTTGCAGTTATTGTCATATTTTGACTTCACTTTGCTGTAGGAGACCGCATTGATTACATTTCACAAAAAGGAACCACAATCTCTGGTTGTTCCATGAAAGCACCTTTCTGCATAGGGAAACTGATGATTCATATGTTATCTCTAAAATGAGCCAGAAATAGTGGTTTTTTATTGCAAAATGTGGTCCGATTATCTCTCGCTAATCCATCGAATTATCCACCTGCATAGAGAAAGTAATAGGTCCTACTTTGAAACTGAGCTTAAAAGATTAGGCAGGTTCCCATGACAAAATGTAGTCCATCGCTCTTACTCAAGAGGCGCGGCGTCATTCAACAAGTTTGACTCTCGGTTTGTTTTGGAAAAACTGTATGAAACTGTAGAGATTGATGATTCTAGATATCTTAAAATATCCACGAATCCTTGAACTAAAGTTTGTTGAGGCCAACCACCTCATGGAGAGCTGATACTAAAGACGGTAAAATTGTCCTGGCTTTCTTGTTTTCGCTCGCTCAATTAGTTTCAATCTATTTAAACGACCAGCGTGGAGAGATAAAATTCGATTCAATCGTTTCGAAAGTTCGCACAGGTAACTTTTTACCTGCGTGAGTGTAATCTGTGCAACTCTCCAATAACTTCAACTTCTTTTCCTTGTTTTTTGTGGGTAACTAATGTTTTTTTTATATATTCTGTTTTAGGTGAGCGCATCTAATATTCAAAGTCTGCACATGACTCATTTTCTTTGTAAGTACAATTATTTATTCGATCTATAAGTTCATAATTTTTGAGAGAATAACATCGCTTTTCACACAAGTGCTGAGCGTCTACGCCGGTGGGGGGTGGTATTTACACGAAATACCTAACATACGTATTTCCATTATTAGACGCCAGTTCATTGGATTTTTATCAAGGGTTGGAATCCCGCGCGCCCGGGAGGTAAAGCCCTATCTGGATCGGACTTGGAGCTCGTGAGAACTTCTCAAAGAGACTCTCCGGAGAGGGTAAGTGGGGCGGAGAAATTTATTGTTATTAAAAAGGTTTAACGGAGCCGATCAGCAATTCAAGTGCGAATATTAACAACGGGGAGAGCTCGCGGTGGCCAAATCGTGAAAAACGGCTCACGCGCGAGGTACACGAGATCGGATGCTCGCAGAGCGATCTGGCGGCGAGGGCGCGAACATTCATCACGATCAAGATCGGGGGTGTTTGTTTGTCGAAGGCATCAGAAGTTATCTGGGCTCCTGATAAATGAAACTTGTAATTCACTCGCCCAACTTCCGACGCGGCGGTGGCGGCGACTGGAAATATATTTTATTATTACCTATTAATGGAGGGAAACTTTGAATTTACTCAAATAGGAAACGTGATTGGGGGATTGGAGGGGGGTTGATGGTACCGCCACCGCTACGGGTGACTGGGGCGGGAAATGAAAGGGAAGTTTCTTTGCTTGACGTTGGAGGACTCGGAAAATGCTTTCCGCGGTTTCCTAAGTCCATCAGCCGTGGCGGGATCCGTTGCTCGATTTTTTTCTCGTTCTTGTTTTATGTTCATATTTATTCCGGTCTCATAGTTTTAGCACTAACTGAATATTTTGAGTATCTCGCTTCTTCGCGCTGAACGGGAGTGGCAATATTTATCTCTGAGACATCAATATTTTATCTCGGATTGTACAAATATACAAGAAAATCAGGGACTTTATGGCTTTTTAGTGATAATTTGGACGTATTTCTGCCGACCGAAACCATAGACGATTGGGGAAAACGGGGGTGCGCTCTAGAAATCTGCAGAGGAAAGAATGTTAAAGTGGGCTTGATTCCCTTTAAAGAAATGGAAAAGCGAGATTTTACATTCTGTCAAACGGAACTATATGCCAACTGAATTCGACACTCATGAGCCGTGGGCATGGCGAAAGAGCGTTGTGGACAGGGCTCATGAGTAAATGACGACCAAGAGCGACAACGAAGACGGCTTCGTTGCCGCTGACGTCACTGGCGCTTTATAATGCCCGTTCATTCTTACGGCCCTCGACTAAAAAACACACCCCTTCTTTCCCACCTGCTTCTGGTTCCGTTTAGTGGAAATGTGTCCATTTAAAACCATTTATTTTTGAGATTTTTTATTTGAGAGATCGTTGCTCAACACATTGCTCATCACTATTCATCCAACGATTGACATGGGTTCCCGAAAGTAACCATTGGACACGGCAAATTACATTAATGCGGAAAAGTATTTCATCCCTCACCGAACGGAGCTTTCTGTTGAGAGACGTGGTTAGGCTCGCGACCCGTCCCGATCTTAATTTGGTTTTTGTGTAGATCTCAGCCGGCAATGCTGGACAGATTATCGGAAAAGCGGCGCATCGGGAAAATTCTCACGTACTTCCGATGCAACGGCAGAGTTACTTTTCCGTAGGAGAAAACCTTGTTGCCCCGTTCCGCTCAGGTTTCGCACACACACCGTTGCGTCTTGATGGAACGTAAATCGTCGAACGGAACCAGGTTTGAATCGCGGAGATAAACGTTCGCTGTCAAACGAGTCATCGCCGGCCATCAACGAACTTGGATTAATTTGTTAATGGTTAAGTTTGGCAAGTTTTCAACTTGAGTTCCTTATTTTCATATCACTGGAAAAAGAAAATTCGGTCATGTTAACCGAACGTTAGGGTTTCTATATCGTCCCAAATCTGCGGTTTGTCAAATTGAACTTTCGGTTCTTGTAACCGAGCGTTCGGCATATATGATCAAACTTAGTTCGTCAGTTCACTCTACCGCACAAGTTTGGTTACACGAACCGATTGTTCGCTTTGACGAACCGATAGTTCGCTTTGACGAACCGAAAATTCAGTTTGACGAACCAAAAATTCATTTTGACGAACCGAAAATTCAGTTTGACGAACCGAAAATTCAGTTTGACGAACCGAAAATTCAGTTTGACGAACCGACAATTCAGTTGGACGAACCGACAATTCAGTTGGACGAACCGACAATTCAGTTTGACGAACCGAATTGGTTGGGATGATATGGGACACCGAACTTAGGTACGTGCGACTGAATTTTTTTTTTTTTTTGGTGTAGTTTATCTTACTGATCGACGAGCCGTTGCTCAGTGACCATCTCCTTTTAACACTTGAGAAAAATCCATCAGAACATTTGCAACTTGCAATGAGAGTACTAAGCCCCGAGGGGAAGTTCGGTATCCCGTCATTTTTCTGTCGAAAACGGTATTTTGAGGCTCAGGACTGGACGGGTGGTGAGGAGTAATTATTTAATTAGAACCCTAATGGCTAATGGCGGATGAGACCGTCTGACGCCCTTCACAAAGCTTCCTCGCTGAGCTTCGCCGGTAAATCTGACAAGTTTTGGGTTCAAAGTTTCGGTTAATTTTTAGTTTGATCAAGCACCTGTGCACGGTTGCCACGGCATCTCAAGTGCTAGTTTATTTTCCTCCTGTTTATGTTTCTTCATTCTAGAGCTTCGAGCATGTTTGGGCACGGAAAGCTAAATACAGTATTGAAATATCTAAGCAAGGCCGAAAGTATGGTAAAAGTACGAAAGGAGCACAAAAGATTCGGTTGAAGCGCTGATAATTTCGACGCATGCTTGGCTTTGAAAGGTGGCAGCAAAGTCCGGTAGGACAGCCATTTTATAACGCCAAACGTCAACCAGTTTATATGAGAACTGCCATGAAGTACCTACATTTACAGTCAGAGTGGCTGTACATTATTTTTTCCAATGGTTAGAAAAAAACTACTCAGAAAGCACACATTTTTATTGAAATACCCAAAAGACCTGGAGTGAATATTTTCTTAGCTCAATTAGGTACCTTAAACTCCGCGTGAATAATTAAAGTTTATGATTCAAAATTTCCGCACGTTAAACTTTATCCACGGAAAGCTAGACTTTTGACTCAAGCGGAACTTCTCCCTAACGCTACACATCATTGAGCAGCGATGAAATAATAAATGTAAAAGCACTTGCAGCCTCCTGCAAACGGAAGCCAACGAAGTTTCGAGTTCAGAAGGTACCTTTGAAAAAACCCAGCCCTGTTGTAGCACTTATCAAACCAATTTTCTGGCTCATCTGGCAACTGCTAGCTTAGAGGAAGCCCGGCTAGGAACCATGTTCCATCATCAAAGAATAACCCCCGCGAAAATTCACTTTGATGCCGCGAACTCTCAATTCTGGCGCGAGGCGCTACCTTTCAGCCTCTCCTGAGTGCACAACCCTCGGTCAAAGATTATCGCACGCAATACAGCACGTGCTCGGAGGTAAAGGAAACTTTTAAGCTTTCAATTTTCAGCCGGTGACAGGTTGCTGATTCTATTCAGCCTCAGTCTTACAGATCAAATTAAGACTCCATAATACGCACCGTACATCTTTATGTTGCGGATTGCATAAGTTGAGGGGGCCGCGTATTGCGGCTTGCTTAGTTTCGGATATCGGTGTATCGCGGGTTGCTGAACTGAGTACGCCTTCATTTATCGGTTTTGCAATACATCTGAAGTCTCGGTATTAGATCACATATAACGATAATGAAACTAGAAGAGCGTATTTCGATATATCTGTCTCCAATTCCTCATTATTTTTCATGTTTGCCAAGGAAAACGGATCCGGATTTTTGCACAGATTTTTTCAATAATCAAAGAAAAAACATGTTATATTTAACGCTTTAATTGAAGATGATGTGTCCGCATGAAAACCAGGGTACCAAGTTTACAAACATAGCAAATCGCATATTTTATAGTTTCGTCATGGACAGTAAAAAATTTTACCTCCAAAGTGGTAATCAATTACAACATTTTTAATAAGAAAACCAAAAGAACCAAAAAACTAAGTACTACAAATTAGAATGAAGAGCGATCATTATTCTAAAAGTTAATTTCCTTAAACCGTAAGAACGCCTGAAAAATACTTACACTGCGTTTTTATGCCGTATTGGCAAAATTATGACACAATATATCGTTAACAAATTGTATTTTTCTTCTGACTTTTACTGATTATTCTTTCTGGCGATATCCATCCTCAAAGAGCATTAATATGAAAGTGTAGGTATATGCCGTGATCAGAGGTTGTAGTCACATTTCATGCACGTGTTTGGCAGTGTACACTTGTTGGAGTATCTAGACAATTAGTTTGCTAATTTGAAGGTTTGATGGTCTAAAAAACACATGACCAAGGAATTTGTTATAGAGAGTTCTGATTGTCTGTAAGTTATTGTACCATTGAATGCATTTCAACTTACAACTTTCCTAAATTCATGAAAAAATGTCAAGAAAATAAGATGTGCTAAAACTTAACAAATGTCAACATTTATATCACAAAACTAGTCAATAATCCGTCAACGGCCTCTTTGCAACCCAAGCTTTAATCTGAGGAATTGACAATACTTTATCCTTCAATGCTCTGACATTAGGGTAATCCTCAACAAGGTCAATTTTGGCAAAATAACTCATGGTACCAAGCAATGCGACGACCCATAGATCCGCCCACGACAGCTGGAAAATGAAAGGAAAAATAAATTAATCAACTGTTCGTCTCCTGCCGGCCAATTTGTCGCAAGCGCCATGCGACGTTCCAAAATTTTCGGCGCAATTTTATTTTTTTATAGAAACATTTTTCAACAAAGCTGTCCGAAAATCTCACGGAATTTTCTTCTTGCTGCCGCTAAAATTCAGTGAAATTTTCAAACAGATTAAACCGATCATTTTTCTATAAAAAAATAAAATGGCGGCGGAAATTTTGAAACGCCGCGCGGAGCTTGTGAGGCTTTGGCCGAAAGGTGGCTTATTACTCATGACCACGAAGTGGACATAATAACGCTTTTAAAGTTATGGTTAAGAGACCAAAGCATGAACTCAAGGAATATCTAGACCGTAAAACCCGTATAAGCATGTAAGGTTCACAATACTTTTTAAATTGTAAAAAAAACGACAATGTCTCTGATAGTTAATTGAGAGATGATTGGAAGTTGACTGTTGGGCTACCGGCAGATAATCGCTAAGGCGAGTCCAACGCCACATGAAAATTCGAAGCCTTCTTGTTACCTTCATTTTAATGTGAAGAAGAAAATTGAAACGCTCAGCATTGCATAAAAAATCGGATGAACTTCATTAAAAGTACTTACCTTTCCATTAACAAAAAATCCTTCGTTTTCCTCCACTTGCTTATCTAACCGTCCCATGTAGAAAGGAATCGTTTCTTTTATCAAAATATCATACTTTTTCGCCTTAGATTCTTCATTAGGATCCGTGTGATAGCCTGATATTGCTGTAGAACAAAAACACCGCATTCAATCATAAATAATGCTACAGCTGTAAAATTTAATGTCTCTCAGTATTAAAACCAATTACTGTTGAACGCTTTATATCATAGGTGACCAAATTCGAGAAGTATGTATACGTTGTAAATCTTTATTCGTGTTCTTTTGGCTCATTAATGAATGCCCTCTTCTGCATAAGGAAACTCATGTCGCATCTATTATTTCTGAAGTGATCTAGAAATATCGGTTCCTCATTGTTCAACGTATTCTAATGAAGCTTAAATAGTGATTGGGTATTAGACTGTCTAGCTATGGATGATCTCCAGGAAATCTGACAGCGAGTTCTAGATTCCTGGTTCTGCGGTGGTGTCAAACATAGACGGATGTTTAGCACTACTAGGAATCTAGTATATGATACTAACTTTCTTGTAGATCATATAAATACATCGAAATAGTCTAATACCCACCATCATCCTCTTTTCCCCACTTGCACTGGACACTGATAATACTCGACTTTAACATGGTTTCTTCCAAAGTATGAGATCTTCATAAACTCTATTCTGTGTCTAAGCCACAAAAAGGAGAAGAATATAAAACATACCCATCCTCATATCATCAAATGTTCCAACGGTTGCGTCTATCAGCAGAGCTTCCCAATCATCTTTGCCAGCAATACCAGCTTTTTTGGCATAGTAACGACAGATTGCAGCAGTTTGATTCACAATCTTGCCGTCGATTTCCAAGATCGGTAGTTTTCCAAAGGGCGTGGCTGAAGAAAAAATGAAACAGAACAATGAGATTCGATCTATTGTGTTACCTCCAGCAAGCAGCTTTTATAGCTACATCTATACATAATTATATCCCTCGATGCCATTGAAATGCAAGTTCCAAAACTGATGAGGATAGGTCCTTTATAAAATTATCACCAGATTCAACGGCCTATTGTTCCTATTTCCATCCAGTAGATGAAAAATTTCATGAAATAATGACTCCCACGGGTACTTTTTGGGGGAAGGCTAGGTGATGATGAAAATCGATGAAATAATTATTCATGTATAATACCATGGTACCACATTTTGCCTACCTTATAATCTGAAGGCATTTTTCTTGATCGCGTGTTCTTTTCTGTTAAAGGTAAATACCAAATTATGCAGGTAATAAAGTGCGTGTCCCAACACATCGTACGATTCGAAATTTTAGTCAACAATTCTTCCAAATCGTTCACCATTTAGTCAAGCAATGTTATCGTACTCACATTTCAAAAGTAATTTCTCTTTTATCACTTTAATCACCAATATAACAAGGCTTGAATCTGTTTTCGGCTCTCTCCTTGTTAATTCTAGCTCGGAGACTAATAGCACTTACTTGGCTTTATTTTAGGCCAATCCTCGGTGGTTATTCTGTCATCTATAAACTTTTCATTGGCGTAAGAGAGGACGAAACGGATTGGCTCGCCAAGACCTCGGATAGGGAAGTACGTCAACTTCGGAGGAGCCATTGAGCCTCACTGCAAAAATTCCAAAAAACAAAAATCAGTTTGCGGTCCGAGTGACATCCCTGAGTATCATTTAAACTCAATGCAATATATGATTCGAAGCAGGGACTCTCAACGGTAACTTTTTCTAATATCACGCGAAAGAATTTGGTGTAAAATACAAAATGACCATAGCCTTTGGTTGGTAATTTCAAGAGAAAATACCAGCTACAGGGTGTCTAGCATCAGGAAAAACTGGAAAATATCAGGAATGTTGGCTGATCAGGAAAAAATCGAGAAAATATCAGAAAAATCGGACGTTTTATCCGGAATTTCGCTCCTTGACGGAGTAGTCTTAAGGCTTTTTGCCTACCGTGCCTGGTGTTTTTACGAGAAAAATCAGGAAAATATTAGGAATTTTCGAAATGAAAAAATCAGGAATTTTTTAAAAAATATCAGGAAAATATCAGGATTTTTCAAAATTAAAGAATAATAGACACCCTGAGCTAGTTTTCTGGAAGAATTTCAATAAGAAACGAGTGGTGAATACTAACGTCACCATCGGAAGAATGCATTTTCCCAGTTTCTCCATTGTTTTCTGGGCTAAAGTCACCACAAGCCATACCAAAATCAACACAAAATTTATGTTGGTTTGTATTTCACTTCCTATATTAACCAAAAGTAAAAAGAGAACACAAATATTTTTATCAGTGTAACGCCCCTTCATGATCACTCCGACCACCATTGAAAAGGTGTCGGCAAAAGGGCGCAAATTATCAATATTCAACTTTCAAATGAACAATACATTTTTTTTACATACCTCATGAGAAAAAAGGTTCAACAAGAAGGAAGCTTCACCTGTCCCGATCTCAGCACCAAACCCGAATAACAAAACACGTCACCGAGCATGGCCAGTGCTGCCATGCTAAGGAAAAACGCCGTATGAACATCCGAGAGTTGCCAAATTTCCCTCGATAAAATATTTATTTTTAACAACATTCATGCATATTGTTCTTCACAATTTCCAGATATTTTAGATTGAAGTGCGTACAGAATTGTCCGAAAATTTTAGGAAATTATATATTCGCAATTTTCCCAGTAAATTCGGTTTTTATCGGAGGAAACTTGGCAACGCCTGAAGACTCATACGGCGTTCTTCCTTAGGACGGCCGAGTGATAAGTGTCTTGCTCTTGTACAGTCACGATAAGATAGTGGAATCATATAGAAAGGGCGCTCAACCCACACCGTACGGAAACTCCAGTCGGATACTTTCACCTCTGAGGCGAATTCAATTCGAACACTTTGAGAAGCCATGGATTTTTAAGTCTCGTCGATTGAAAGAAGTGAAAGCCGTATCAAGAGCACCCCAAGATTAACAAAAATCGTTGCTCATCTAACGTAAGGACGTATCTTGATATCCACTTGAGCCCTATCCTCCGTACAACTCTATGCTTGCCTAGGCTCATTCGAGAACAGAGATACGGCTTGTAGTCACAGGAGCCACGAAATAAGAGGAATGGAGCGGAGGTGGCTTTTGCTCGACGAGTTCCATTAAGCTATTTCTATAAACTCTCAGCGCGGGTTAAAACAAAAACCACAATCTTTTGATAATGCACTTGAAATTTGAATGGCACTTAAAATATAATATTAGGTTACTTCACGTCAGCATTTTCATTTTAGGTATACTTTCTCTCCGTTTTCGTGAGGGAGTGCTTTTAACTGCAGATGGAGTTATTCAAAAAAATGTATTTTTGAATCAGAGTCTGCTGCTTACCAGAGGCGGATCCAACAGTTTGGCAACACCGAATTCCTCCATTTAAACCTATGCCAAATAATCGATTTATATCGGAGCACCTGGCCCTTCCAAGAATCGATACATTTCCATAGGTTTAAATGGAAGAACTCCGGTGTTGCCAACTTGCTGGATCCGCCAATGCTGCTTACGTAGAGTTTCCAATATCAATGACCGTGGTGATAGTCGCATCAGAATCTTCAAAAAATCTGGAAGCAGTAATTTTTTTACGACACAGATTCGTCTACCCTTTTTCTAAATTTTTCGGGACCCTTTTTTTCTTCTTCTTTGGTTTGAAAAGTCCACCCAGGTTGCTCGCATTGGTCTTTTAACTTCACTTTTCCAGAATAGCCCCATTGATCCATAGAATAATCATATAATTGTGGAGTTTTATGTTTGATTTTCCTCTCGTGATTTTAAGGATGGTTTTATTTTCGGTCTGGTAAAAAGCGAAACGTATACAATAATAGTTAAAAAGAGAGAGAAAAAGAACTTTATTGCATGAACAACACCAACACGTTGAAAATTAACAGAACACAAAACAATTTGTCACAGTAGGTGATTACGAACTCTTAATAATTACATGAACGAAAAGTTTGGAAAATTTGCGCTCATATGCGCTTACATACGCCGTTCCGCTAACATTAGATTTTGGGAGCACACGGATTGACTGTGTTTACATAATTGTCAGAAATGGAACTATAGAACCTGAGTTGCACATAAAACGTCATCGGTAAAAATACTACGAAACTGAAGCTTTAGGTGTAATGAAGATTTAATAAATACTGTCAAAAGAAGGAGAACAACTCTTGAAAGTACAAAATACATGTTTTATTCAAATAATTTGATCACCAGTCGGTAACCGGCCTTTTGGCAACCCAAGCTTTAATCGAAGGAATAGCCAATACTTTTTCCTTCAGGGCTATGATAAGAGGATATTTTTCTTCCAGGGTGCGCTCTGTGTATTTATTCACTAGATCCAGTAGCGAAACGACCCACAAGTCCGCCCATGTCAGCTAAAAATAAAATATAATTCAATTTTAGTCGATTAAACAGTAAATTTCAAAAATGTTCAGCTTTTAACCCGTCAAATCTACTTGACTGAAAACCTCTTCGGGACTGATTTGAACCTACCTGGAAAAAATGTACGATTTTCTTTTATATCTCCCTTTTTTTGTAACATTCTCCGCCATAAACCTTGGATAGAGAGAGTGAGGGGGGGGGGGGAGAAGTTTCGATACTTTTTTGCTCTTCTTTTGTTTCATAAGGTTCGAAAAACAAAGGCCATGAATGAGCGTATCAACGGGGAATGCTTTCAAGACAGAGTAAGTAGCAAAAAAATACATTTTTAGCTCACAGCTATGCAGATGAGACACAGCTTTCTTCTTTTTTGGCCGTATTATGCGCTATTTTAGCGTATTTGGCATCCAATGACTTCGTTTCTAAAAGATACATCCCAAGATTCGGCCAAACTTAAACGATTATTATGAACATTTCTTACCTTTCCGTTCACTAAATAGCCGCCGTTTTCTTTTATTTGCTTCTCCAATCGCTCCATATAGAATGGAATAGTTTCTTTGATCAATAAATCCAACTTTTTCTTCTTTGATTCTTCGTTTTGATCGTAAAAATAGGTTGAAATAGCTGAAAAAATTAAATAATGTGTAAATCGGAAAACAAAACGAAGATGCAAGAACAGCTATAATTTTTGTAAATAAAAATTAACTAGGGGCTTATGGGGCTGCTTCGCAGCCCCTTATTTTTCCTGTGCACTTTTCACTTTGAACTTTAAAGCAATAAGGTCCATCACCCGGAATATCAATTCGATTTGCAGAGAAAGAGGCAAAAGCAACAGCACTATTATAATTTCTGATATGCTTTATGAAATTTGGAGAATATAAAAATAATGATTTCAAATCGGTATTTGTCCGAATACTCGGTAAAGAAATTAAGCCATTTTGGCAGCAGTTATTAAAATGACCATTGGACATTTCACCCTGAAAATGGCGAGCATCACAATGATGACAAATTATATTCATTGAACCGACTGAAAATTTGGTAACAAAATTTTCATCAAAGTTCTGATCATCAATTTTATACTTCCGAAATGAAGAAATGAAACTTTGATTTTCTATACTAATAACAGAGTTAAGTTCTTGCTTCACTAAACGAACATGCGAAGAATTCTGGAAAACGCGACCACGTTTTGGAGGACGACCGCCTCGGTCATTGAAAATTTCACTCATAACAACTGTTAAATTTAAAATTAAAATTAGTAAAAATTATTATTATTTTAACAAAATCATAACTGAAAAGTTCAATTTTTAAATTAAAAAAAAATAAATCAGAAGAAAAAGGATGAAATGAAAATGGAAATTAATAATAAACATATTTATACACATTGAAAAGAAACAGCGTGAAAAGTTCTGATCGGAAATGAGAAAAAAAACTTGGAGGTTATTGACTTAATGAGGAAAAATTGGCAATAGGAAAAAGATGGAACCAATCATGAAAAACCGTAAAAAAAAAACGCGGGAAAAGAAAAATGTAAGTTGATGGCAGTTGAGTGTTGGAAGTAACCTCACTTAATGATGATTGTAGTAACCTCACTTAATGATGATTGTTGAATGAAAACAGCTGATAAAAAGACAGCAAACAGTAAAGTAAGATGCGTAGCAACAAAACTTTTCCGAAAAACAAAAAACAAAAAACCCCCACTTCCCCTCATCCAATTTATGAGTTTTTAGGGATTTAAAAATCGGGGACGAACCCCAGAAAATAATTTATAGTTTTCCCGAAGCATTGAGAACAACACCTTTCAAATGAACCAACGCCCCTCGCAATTAGTACAGTGGTTGATTCTCAATTTCATTCTATTTTTCAAATTAGATATTAAGATTATTTTTGTAAATTGTTTCAACTATAATTTTGTCAAAGCTCTAAGATGACAGTTTTTAACGTTGCTCATCCTATGATGAACGTTTCCTTATAACCAAAAGAAAGGTACAAAGCTTTGAGCTCTTTGGGTATAGTAGAATGTGAGTTAAAATCAAGATAAGTGTGATTTTGTACTGAAAGAAGAAATCAATAAACTTACCTTGTCGCATATCATCGAAGGTTCCCACTGTGGCGTCGATCAGCAAGTCTTCCCAGTCATCTTTACCAACGAGACCACATTTTTTGGCATAGTAACGACAAATTGCAGATGCTTGAGGGACCTTTTTTCCGTCCACTTCTAAAACGGGCAGCTTCCCAAATGGTGTGGCTGAGGTGAATAACAGGAAAAACAACAAATAAGTAACACAGACATATAGATATTATTTCGCACCACGATTTTAAACTAAATTTGAATTTATGAAAAAATATAAAAACTACGCGGAGGCTAGAACTCTTACTCATCCCACATCATCTCCCTTCACGAAAACTTTTTGATTTATGTGCCTCTGTATTATATGTTTGTTTGCATTTAATTGAAAAGTTTTAATGTAAATACGTGCTCGAAGCTATTAATTTTTCAGTGCTCTTAAAAATAGCTTTTAATTTTTCAGTGCTCTCAAAAATCAACAAAGATTTTTTTTAAGTAGCTCGCAAAATTACTGCAAATCCAATATGGCTCGTACCTATTCACTTGATATAAATTTGCAAAAGATATGTATCATGTATCAAGATAACCAAGTAGCGTCGGAAGATATCTATCCACAATCATAAGTGATCGTGAATCCTCACTCAGTTTCAGTTAATACGACAGTTTTTGAAACACAGCCCCTGAAGCAAGTATGTGAGGGTTACAGGAATTTAAGGGATCGGAGCCGTTTTGGCTGGCTCTGAAAGAAAATTAAAGTGACCAAATTCCATTTTGAATCAAATATAATTCCTTCAATCGTTTTTGCGCTTCCATAAGTTTAATTGGTAACTGTATAACGCCAAAAACCGATTGCTTTTATCTTGCTTACAGTGGCGTTGCGTGAATTGCGACGTATCGATTGTTATGCCATTTAAACCTATGATTATGAAGGTGCTCGCTGCGAACACCCTGTTTAGCGGTCCATTTCCATAGTTTTAAATGGCATAACAACCGATACATCGCAATTCACGCCATGCCACTGCTTGCGTATATTCAATCGCTTTCGGTAGGGTTCGCATCTTATGGCCTGCGTATTTTGCTAATAGCGCATAGGTTGTTTGGCAAGTGAACTAAACAAAACTTACTTGGTTTCACTTTGGGCCAATCCTCGACGAAGTTGACTCTGTCATCGATGAATTCTACGTTGGCGTAGGACAGGATGAAACGAACCGGCTCGCCGAGCCCTTTCACAGAGAAGTACGTCAGCTTGGGAGGAGCCATCGTGATTATTCACTGCAATAAGTCGAAAAGGAAAAGTTCACCACCAAAATCGCAAGGCTATTCTCAAAGAGCGTTTTTCAGCAGTAATACTGCCGATAGATAGACAATTCCCGAAAATTCGCACTGTTTAAAAAAACACGAAAGCAGTTGCCAGTTGCGCGCGTCGCAAAGGAATACAACATGAATTAAGACTGCATACCTTTAAGGAAGTCTTTTAAGACAGGGTTCAGTTGAAGGAAGATAAAGGAAGATCCAGCTGGCTCTATCTGAACTCCAAGCGGGAACAACAAACAATTAACCATATGATGTCATGACGAGTGATAGTTATGCTTTTTCAGTCACGATAAGATAGTGGAATCGCACACCCACGTGTGCTCATATCCTATTATTAAACGGCTAATTGTTGAAAATACCTTGATGTTGCGATGAGCTGATTGAACAATGTGGCACGAGAGTTTGGAAACTCTTAATTCGATTCACAGATCATACTATACAAATAGAATTTGCACAACTGAAGCTCTCGAACTTGTTTTTGAATCTTGTCGATCTTTACAAATGGAATTGAAAGTATCTCCGCGCAACCTTGCCGTGCCGGAAAAACGCTGTACGAGCCTTTGGATGTTGCCAGATTTCTTTCGATAAAACGTAACGTTTATGGGGGACTAGTGAATATTTTCCCATTGATTTTTCACAGAGTTTTACGAGCAATTTGATCTTGAGTACCCCTCCGATAATGTCAACGAAGAAACATCATATCGTCCCTCTCAGATATGAAATATTTTATCGAACGAAACTTGGCAACGCTCAGATGTTCTCAAGGCGTTTTTCCGTAACAAGGCAGAATTGATGTTCGTTTGATTGATGAGTAAACGTTAATTATTCTTACAGTCTTTCTGGATTTTTCCGCGGAATTTTTCCCTCTCCTCAAAAGTTGATTGATTAAAGTTATGAAATGGTATGTGGATGTAAGATTTGCTCCTGCTCGGCATGTTCGCTTTGTAGGTTAGAATCCCAATAAGCTGGACAAGTCATAATGCATCGTTGCCAAGCTGTGCAAAATACAAGCAAAGTCTCCCGCGCGACAAAATGTAAAATAAACAAATTAAACACTAGAGTCGGCAGCTTTATAAATTGCTTTTATTGGCCTTCAGTCCGAGCGTCAAGCACGGTCTCAGAGGTCTCGGGATAGCAATTATGAGACTTACGTCCTACTGAAGCTAAGGCTGTGTGTGCAAGTAGTCCTGTCGAGAGTGATGTGTGAATAGATGTAGATGTAAGAGTAGATGCGATTTAGAAATTGAATCGAGTTCTAAAAGTGAATTTTTGGGTCCTATAAGAAGAATTCATTTCATTTATTTATTTTTTTAAAAATCATTTATCCTCCAAGCCGTCGCCTTCCGACCAAATCCAAGAAAACCATATCTGTGGAAAGCATTGCGGTGAAAGCTTAAGGAACTAATTTTCACAAAATGATCCCTAAACGTTACTTACATTTAAGGGGAAAGAACTTTGTATTCTCTCAAATTTTGGAGAGCTGTAACACCGAGTGTCAAAAAGCCTTATTTTGGCGCAAATTGACTCCTTATAAAATCTTTACTCTTATTCTCGAATCATCCTGTACAATGTACAGATTATAAGTATTGTTTTGAATACGTGTGAATTTTTGTATCAGCATCAGTTCAAAGAAAGAAAGGATGTTCAGAAAAGGGAAAGTTCTCTAAGACAAGCTCCATCGGAGCAATGGTGTCATTTTTTGTTTCGTAAAGTTGTGTGTATTTTCTCCCCAGTTTTCAAAGCAGTTTTTTCGCGATTTCAAGAAATCGCACACACTTAAGAAGAAAAATGGGCAAGTAGTTGATTTTACAAGGCCAACCTTAAAAAAAAGAACACTTACATTTCAAAATCAGAATGAACTCGCCAAAAATTCACCAGAAGCAGACCCGGAGAGCAAAAAAACCAGAACCGCGCCTCTGAGCGTGAACTGTTCATGATAGCGCTCCTCCCATAGGAAGATCAATTTGACCATGAGACAGCCTGTCTGATTGGTAGAGCTCCCGCTCCCCCCCCCCCCCCCNAACAGTTCGCGCCAGAAGTAGCAGGACCGCCATTTTTTAAATTCACGGGTCATGCAACATTACTTTGCTGCAGAGATGAGAGATGAGACTTTTTCCTAACCTCTTTCGCGAAATCAAATATTGACGTGGCGATAAAAATCAGTTTGCCTCATCGACACAAAAGGTAACGCTGGAATTTAATTAAGGTGAACAAGAAACAAGCGAGGCGCCGTCAGTACCGCATTCGCATGCGACATACACTAAGCGAATTTCATTTTAACGCTTGGATGCAACTATTCGAGCCCCGCGGATGTCCGTATTGCATACGCACGTAATTGAAGGCGTTTTGATTTTCCAGGCACCTATCGTTTCACCCGTGGCACGGTGGCGCTACGGCTTCTGCGGCTTCTGGCTGCACTGCGAGAATTTGTCTCTTACTACTAAAATGTCACACCCTAAAACTAAGTCTCCTACTTCTTGGGTAGATTTTGAATTAGTTGCATCGTACACCTCAAACTGTTGTAATTACCTGGGGACACCATTCCCATCACAGTTAATGTAGAGCCGTGGAAGCTTTGTTTTCATATGCATGCAAGCGGTAGGATTAGCATTCAGCTTTGACTCGAGCACAGGTTGACCAAACCACCTTAAGGCTTTGAAAACAGCCGTTCGTTTTCATGCCAAAACGCTGAGCATCGAGGCTAGCAGTTGCGGATAACCAAATCCATTGAACCTCGGTATCCAATTTGGGATGGCTGTTGTTGGAAATCGCCAATTAAAACTTACAATTATGCCACGATGTGTGTAACGATGTATAAAGTGTCCGCATTATCCCACCTATCTATTTGCAACGTTCGCAAAGTCACAACTTTTGATCGGAAGTTTCCAGCAACGGTTCGGACGGAGCAATTTTCGTGGGGATTCTCAATTTAACTGCCGCTCTTTTAGGCATTCAGAAAGAAAAATCGTGAAGGTAATTTTTCATCAGTTTCAACTGTCGCCAACTTGCTGGATCGCCACTGCCGGGATGCCCTGTATAAGCATCCCCGGTTCCGAGCAAGAAAACAACGGCAGCGGGGTTTTAAGGCTTCTGCCCGGCTCGTGAAAAATGAATGCTGTTGACCCAACGGAAACGGGGAGAAGTAAGACCCACGAATACGAGAGAAACATAAGCGGGGAGGTTTCTTTATCCGCAGAAAAAAACGACGGCATTAAGACCGGCTTGTAAAATTAAATGTTTTGTTTGAAATTACGCCCGGAGGAGGGCATTACATGCGGAATAAGATGTTACGACAGGAACAACCGGGATGCGAGGATGGGGGGCGGGGAGGGGAGGGGGGGGGTTCCGCTCCGAACCCTGGTCTCTTACGCGGTGTACCCTCGGGGCCACGCTCAAAAGTTGAAAAACTTGAGGTTCTGACGTAAACCTCTCGGTAAGCTGACTGGGACACCGCAGTCGCGTCGGGAAGTAAGATTTCCCGTGTCTTTCCACGACGCTCTTCATGATGACGTCACAATACTGCCGTGCTAAGGAAAAACGCCGTATGAGCCTTTAGGCGTTGCCGAATTTCTTTTAGTAAATCACGAATTTTCGGGAAAATTTGTAAATATTTTCCCCCCAATTTTTCAGATAATTTTGTTCGCAATCTCACCGAAAGTTCCTGAAAATTTCAAGGAAAAATATGCGCAGCTTTCTTCAAAAATAAACATTTTATCGAAGGAAATTTGGCGACTCTTGAATGTTTATGCGGCGTTGTCCTTTAGCACGGCAGACGGGCAGAATACGTCGTTTCTCTGACGAATGAACGTAGCTCCATTCCAAAGCTGGAAAATTGACGCGAACAATTCAATTTTTTACCTGAGTATACCTATGCAATTTCTGTTCAAATTTTTTCTGATTTTTGCAGAGGTCAGAGGAAAAATCATTGAAATTTTCGATTAGAAATTCCTGAGAATCTCCGGGTTAAAATGCAATTTGTGAGGGGAAATTCGACAACCATCAAATGTAGTTAAGTTCTTTCGTGATGGGAACGACGAATAAGGATTCCCCGCTTTACTTGAGCGATAACAATGAAATAATCTCTCTCAATGCAACCGGTGCGAATAAATCGACATATACCGCTTTTCCGTGACTTGACACAAATACAACTTCCGAAGGATCGTTTTCTTTTACAGGTTTCAGCGACAAAAGCTACGAATATTGGCAGATTGTGGCGCTCAAACCCATGGGTTCGATCTCTCGATTTCCTGGAGTGGACAGCTCTCGACCATTGAGTCTTCACAGGGAGAAGAGAAAGTTCGTACATTACCAATTTTTCAACTGAGCAAAGAGTCAAAAACAAAAAGTTAGGATCAGTACGAATGACATTAGTTGTATTCTTGCCATCTAACCTATGTTTATTGTAACACTAATATCTGATTCAAGAGTTTATTTTAGCCTCTCTGTTCTGTGAATTATTGTCCTCGTAAAATTTTGAAGAGACGATATGTTGCGTAGTGCCTTAATTCATTGGTTATTTAGACGCCCATCACTGAGAATTACTAGCTATCGGTAATAATCGAAAATACTTGAAATTTCTCCCTTTAATTCTCTCTGCACACAGCTTTGGAAATAGCTGGCGTTGAACAGGGGACTCAAAAGTGCGCAAATTTGCAGATTTGAAAGTTGGGAGTGAATTTCACACATTCCCGACGTGCTTATCGTGGCTTTAGGACCATTGTTCGTAAGAGATAACTTTTCTTTCCGCTCCAGCCGAAGTGTGCGAGAGACCCATTTGCCCGGTCCCGGTGGAGGGCGGCGCCGCGCCGCTCAGTGGATCGTGTTAATAGACAAGGTCAGACATAAAAACGACAGGCTAAAATTTCGAATTTCGATGTTTATACCGTCACAAATTCAATTTCAAGGAGTGTTTCTGAGAGGAAATTTCACGAAAACCCCAATAGAACCACTCTTGAAGTTTTTGGTCTTACATTGTCGAAAATATAAGCTTTCAAAGTTTCCAGATTTTTCCCGACTTCTCCTCCTATTGACTCGGATATGAGTTTTTTGGCTAAAATTCCAAATGTTAATGTTTATACAGTCACAAATTCAATTTCAAGGGGTGCCTCTGAGAGGAAATTTCAAGAAAACCTCAATAGAACCACTCTTGAAGTTTCTGGTCTTATATTGTCGAAAATGTAAGCTTTCAAAGTTTCCAGATTTTTTCCGACTTCTCCTCCTATTGACTCGGATATGAGTTTTTCGGCTAAAAATTCGAAATTTTAATATTTATACAGTCACAAATTCAATTTCAAGGGGTGTTAATGTTAGAAATTTCAC